CACAGATCGCTGTGTTCAGCCTGAGGGGGCGGGTCCATGCACAGATCGCTGTGTTCAGTCTGAGGGGGCGGGGCCATGCACAGATCACTGTGTTCAGTCTGAGGGGGCGGGGCCATGCACAGATCGCTGTGTTCAGTCTGAGGGGGGCGGTTCCATGCACAGATCGCTGTGTTCAGTCTGAGGGAGCGGGTCCATGCACAGATCGCTGTGTTCAGTCTGAGGGGGCGGGGCCATGCACAGATCACTGTGTTCAGTCTGAGGGGGCAGGCCATGCATAGATCGCTGTGTTCAGTCTTCACGGTTACACTACACCGACACTGCAAACAGAGGAACATACTGCTACTGCACACAGTGAAACAATATTTCATTACACAGATACAGCATACAGAAACAATATTATATCACACTGACACTCCGCACACAGAAACAAAATTATACTACACTGACAATGCACACAGTGAAACACTATTACATCATGCTGACACAGTACAGGGAGTGCAGAATTATTAGGCAAATGAGTATTTTGACCACATCATCCTCTTTATGCATGTTGTCTTACTCCAAGCTGTATAGGCTCGAAAGCCTACTACCAATTAAGCATATTAGGTGATGTGCATCTCTGTAATGAGAAGGGGTGTGGTCTAATGACATCAACACCCTATATCAGGTGTGCATAATTATTAGGCAACTTCCTTTCCTTTGGCAAAATGGGTCAAAAGAAGGACTTGACAGGCTCAGAAAAGTCAAAAATAGTGAGATATCTTGCAGAGGGATGCAGCACTCTTAAAATTGCAAAGCTTCTGAAGCGTGATCATCAAACAATCAAGCGTTTCATTCAAAATAGTCAACAGGGTCGCAAGAAGCGTGTGGAAAAACCAAGGCGCAAAATAACTGCCCATGAACTGAGAAAAGTCAAGCGTGCAGCTGCCACGATGCCACTTGCCACCAGTTTGGCCATATTTCAGAGCTGCAACATCACTGGAGTGCCCAAAAGCACAAGGTGTGCAATACTCAGAGACATGGCCAAGGTAAGAAAGGCTGAAAGACGACCACCACTGAACAAGACACACAAGCTGAAACGTCAAGACTGGGCCAAGAAATATCTCAAGACTGATTTTTCTAAGGTTTTATGGACTGATGAAATGAGAGTGAGTCTTGATGGGCCAGATGGATGGGCCCGTGGCTGGATTGGTAAAGGGCAGAGAGCTCCAGTCCGACTCAGACGCCAGCAAGGTGGAGGTGGAGTACTGGTTTGGGCTGGTATCATCAAAGATGAGCTTGTGGGGCCTTTTCGGGTTGAGGATGGAGTCAAGCTCAACTCCCAGTCCTACTGCCAGTTCCTGGAAGACACCTTCTTCAAGCAGTGGTACAGGAAGAAGTCTGCATCCTTCAAGAAAAACATGATTTTCATGCAGGACAATGCTCCATCACACGCGTCCAAGTACTCCACAGCGTGGCTGGCAAGAAAGGGTATAAAAGAAGAAAATCTAATGACATGGCCTCCTTGTTCACCTGATCTGAACCCCATTGAGAACCTGTGGTCCATCATCAAATGTGAGATTTACAAGGAGGGAAAACAGTACACCTCTCTGAACAGTGTCTGGGAGGCTGTGGTTGCTGCTGCACGCAATGTTGATGGTGAACAGATCAAAACACTGACAGAATCCATGGATGGCAGGCTTTTGAGTGTCCTTGCAAAGAAAGGTGGCTATATTGGTCACTGATTTGTTTTTGTTTTGTTTTTGAATGTCAGAAATGTATATTTGTGAATGTTGAGATGTTATATTGGTTTCACTGGTAATAATAAATAATTGAAATGGGTATATATTTGTTTTTTGTTAAGTTGCCTAATAATTATGCACAGTAATAGTCACCTGCACACACAGATATCCCCCTAACATAGCTATAACTAAAAACAAACTAAAAACTACTTCCAAAAATATTCAGCTTTGATATTAATGAGTTTTTTGGGTTCATTGAGAACATGGTTGTTGTTCAATAATAAAATTAATCCTCAAAAATACAACTTGCCTAATAATTCTGCACTCCCTGTACACGGAGAAAAACTATTCTACCACATTGACACTGCACATAGTGATACACAATTACATCACACTGGCACTACACAGAAACACTGTTACATCACACTAATACTTCACACTGACAAAGCAGACAGAGAAACTTACTTCACACTGGCACTACAGACAAACACTGTTACATCATACTGATACTTCAGACTGACAAAGTACCCAGAAAAACACTTCACACTGGCACTAGAGTACATGATGCTAAAAATACCCCAAGAAGCAACATAGACCCTTGTTTTATTTTATTTTTTTCATACCATCTGGTAAAAAAAAAAAAGTAAAAATACCCTGCAGTGCAAGCATGACGTGTTCATATTGCACTTCCGTGTAGATTGCAGAGTGTACATGGGCACCCAGAGGGTCACAGATACTGTCACCTTGAACATGGATGTGCCACGTAGGTCGGTATGTTTACTTATCTGAGCAGCACTAACCTGTACAGTAAAAAGCTTCAATAGCAGCTGGACATTCTTACATCATACAGTCAGAGCTACTGCTGAGCAAACTAGGCAGCCACTGGGGATACCATCACTGGCGAAACTACAGTGGTCACGAGGGCTCCCCCATAAACTGGCTGTTTGCTATGGCAGCATAGGCGTGCACAGCCTATTGTATAAAGGTGTGCACCCTAAAGCACAAACACGCACGCCGTGTGTATGTATGTGTGTGTATATATATATATATATATATATATATATATTGCTGTGTGTGTGAGGACGCTGTGTATGTAAGGGTGATTGTGTGGGGGTGGGACCATTTAGTTAAAAACCACCCTCCCTTCTTATCTTTTGTAGGGAGGAGGGACCGTGCTGCTGCCATCCCTGGTGGTCCAGTGGTGAGTGAACTCTAGCCCCGCGGCCTGTGGGGCTAAAGTTCACTCTCGCAAGATCCGAGCATTGCCGCGGCAACACTCTGACCTCGCGAGAGGAACCCAGCGGAGCTGCTGGCAAGAGCTCCCCGGGTCCTCTCCTGCCTCCCTCACTGCCTGTGGGTCAGAGGGAGGCACATAGTGTGGGCCATGGGTATTAGGGTGTGCCCAGGCACACGCCTATGTATGGCAGAGTAGACACCTGTGTACCAGTAAGGAAGAACATGAAGATTTAAGCAGTCCCACACTACCTCTCAAAAATGTAGGGGAGGAAAAAAAAACCACAAGCCATAAATAAAATTGATGTGTGTTAAACAGCACTACTGGTGCCTGTAACTGAAAGTGTGTGGCAATGACTGCTAATCCGTGTGGGTGTACCAGTGAGAGAGTAAGACGCTGCCCCCTCTTTGCAGGAGAGGAATCCAGAACTCAATCTCAGGAGGGGCACATGGTTATTTATAGAAACAATCCAGGCACCCTCCCAGAGTAAGTAGTCAGACCATTTAAGAAAAGTTTGAAAACTTACCTGGGGTCTGTCAGGTAGGGAGATAGGGCCTGTAGTAGGGAACAGGGACAGTAGTGTGGTGCAATGTGTGAGGTGTGAAGAGTGTGTGTGAATGGTGTAGTGAGTGCTGTGAGTTAATGGCAGCAGTGTGTGAGGAGTGAAGTGAGGATTGGTGGGGGTGTGTATGTATTGTGTTTTGGGGGCCAAGTAGGGGCAAATTAAATGTATTTTATCTCTTCCCCCCCCTCCTTAACTTTGCTCAGGGAGGGGGGGGAACATTTCCTGCAATGCCTGGTGGGAGTGAACACTAGCCTGCAGCTCCAGAGGCTAGAGAGCTCCTACTCTCCTCTGCAGGCTGCCAGCAATGTGCCTGTGGGCCAGAGGGGGAGATCTCTGAACCGGTCTATGAAGGCTCCCTGCAGGGCTGGCGCTCTGATAGTGCCGGCCCTACATGAGAGAGCAAGGCGAGGGTGGGAAGCGTGCAAGAGAGGTAGCGCTGTACAAGGGGAAATTGCCCTGTTGCCGCTCCCCCCACCCGCTTGATGCTTGCACCTGGGTGCAGCCTCTCCACAAGGAGAGTTTTCCTATAAACGCTACTGATCCCATGATGCACTGTTATGCAAGCACAAACAATTATGATTAGCTGAATTTTTATGGCATGAAGCTTACCAAGCGTGTTGAGTGTGACAGGGAATTGGACTGCACACAACAGTACATCTGACAGGCAGTGTTAAGATCCGCTCAGCTGCCACATACACCTTGCTCAGTCTGCTTGTTGCCATCTCCCATGAACTTCAGCTAAATATCTGAACAGGATTCAGGCTGCCAAACCAATTAGGCGCAAGCTCATTTCTCCCACCAAGTCTGTCCCCACACACTGAGCCGCCATCAAGGAGGTGAGATGCCCCCAGTCTTCGTTTTATTAGAACATGCCTTGTTGTAAATAAGATCGTACCACCAGGAAATTATAATTTATAATCTTGTAATGGTTTCTGTATTCCAAAATGTGGCTGTGAAATAATCTAGCACCTGCTCTGCATACAGTATGTTTGACATTGTCTATAGACTGTACTTGTGTTGAATAATATGTATCCATGTGTTTTAAAGAAGGTATTCTTAAGGAAAGACTTCCCTCTAGTGCCCAGATTAAGTATTGCTAGATCTCCCAGATGTTAGGCAATTTGGAGCCATTGAGATTTATTCCTTTCCAGTGGAATAAGGAGTGACAACCGGTTATAAGCAAGCCATAGGTTTTACTGCCTGCATAACTACTGTACTTATTTCTGTATAATTAAAACTCCAAGTAAACAGGGTTTTGTTATATTAAAGGGAAACTGGCCCTATTCTGTATGACAGACACTAGCTAGATATAAAGTTAATATTTGTGCTGGTGACTCAGATGTCACATTTCTCCCCCCCCCCTCAATACCCTTTATTAGAAGCAATGCATTCTATTTCTCCCACATGCTGTCTGAAGGTCACTTTTGTGTACCATGTTGCATTAATGGGTTTTCGGTCAAAGCCATTAAATCACATCCTGTAAGCAGTGGGATTTTTTTTATTTCCAATGACATCAATACATTAGAATCAAAAGAAATTCACGCCCCCGAAAAAAATGCATTTAAGTGCTTTATCATTGATTGACAAAAGTTTTATATACAAAGATTGGTCCTTTTAGAAAACAGAAAAGAGCCCATACAAAATTACAGCATATTAAAGGTCACATCTAAAATCTGCGTGGCTGTTGAATAATGTAGAGTTTCTTCGGTAGGACAGTTTTCTCCACCGTAGGCAGGGGCTTCTGGTGAGGAAGGTATGGAGCATCTGCTGGAAATTCATGGCCCAGCTGAAAAATAAATTGGAAATTTTAAGATCAGTATCAAGGGATATAAAATGGAATTATGGAGATAGGCTCATAAAACAGGAAAATGTCAGTTTAAGGTTCACAACATTTAATTCAGAGTGACAGTGATTCTCCAATATACACATGGTATGGGAAACCTTTGCCATCTTGTTTGACTGGATC